GGCCGTCTTCGTCTCCCAATTCAGAGTGAGGGGCTGGATGGGGCGGGGACGTCGGGCCGGACGAGAAGAGGAAAGACGAGCCGACGGATGGGAAGGAAGAGACAGAGTCGCCCGACGGACTGCCTGGCTCGGACTGGAACGCACTGTGGGGAGAAGAGGGACGTAAGGGCGAGTGAGACTCGCGATGGTCGTCGCGTGAGCCCGCGGTGGGCGGCTCGGAGAGTTGGGCCATGTCGATATGTCTCAGTCCGCGGATAGTGGATGCACTAGTGCTTGGCTCGTGGTCGTGCAGTGTGTTCATCGCGGTCAATGTGGCCTAGCTATATACTGCTTACGCGTACGCATGAGTAACACTGAAGAGTCTGTATCCAACTGGACGTACATGGTCTGTACTGCCAGTACTGCGCCCTCCTCGGCGTAGATTACAGGTATTCTATGTTGTAGGCTTCGCCTAGCCACCTTGCGCGTCGAGCAGGGGCGACAGAGGAGAACGAGAGGACAGAGTGGATGGAGGCAAGAGAGGAATGGTCGGGATGGGAGAGCGCAGATCACTGAATCCGGACAAGAGCGACGGCCTGCTTCACGAGCACGCCACTGATTTGTGCACGATACTCAATCTTATCAGATTAGACATGTGAGCGCTTCGTCTGGGTCCCCAGCACGTGAACAAGACGCGCAGATACACCGAACGCGACGCGGCAACCTGAACCGTCGGCGTTACGTTCCTCTCGTCTCTTCTCTTTCCTCGCCATCTCACCCCTACCGAACGGGGCGCGCGTCGGTGCCGTCGCTGAAGATGGCGAAGAGTGCTGTACTGAGCACTACCACCACGAACACAAGGAAGCGCAAGTCAACTGGTGGTTTGGACGCGGTCAAGGACGGCGCGGACGCGAACAAGAGACGCAAGACCCTGGATGCCTTCTTCTCACCTCTGGTCACGACTTCTACGTCCTCTTCCTCAAAGGACGCCAAGGCATTCCGCGAGACTGTGAGTCTAAATGACGAACAGATCAGGGTTCTCCAGATGGTTGTGGACGAGGGCAAGAATGTGTTCTTCACCGGGGCAGCAGGTAAGCCACCGTTGCAACGACGTTATATGCCCTCCATGCGCAAGGCGTATATGTCACTCGCACATGCTTCCGCCTGAGGCTCACGAATTTTGAGCAAGTGGTTGACTGGGGTTGGGATCTAGGTTCTGGCAAGTCTTTACTCTTGCGTGCCATCATAGCTGCCCTACGACGGAAGTACTCCAAAAACACCTCCGTCATCTCTGTCACCGCGAGCACGGGTATGGCAGCCTCAAACATTGGAGGTGAGCACTCACCACGATCTCGGTCTTGCAGAGGCTCATAAGTTGGGGCGAAGGCATGACCATTCACTCCTGGGGAGCAGTTACCCCCGGTATGCACAACATTGACAGGCAGATCGCATGTATCAAGACCTGCAAGCCCGCCCACAAGCGCTGGAAAGACACCAAGGTCCTCATTATTGACGAAAGTCAGTCACTACTTCCCTCCAATGTCACTAGTCCTGAGCTCGTGGACAGTTTCCATGGTCGACGGGTACCTGTTCGACACACTCGCGAAGCTCGCAGACCAACTCCGCAACAAGCGAACCAATCGACCTTTCGGCGGTATCCAGGTGTGTAACGTCGTGCATACATAGAGCAAGTCATTCGCAGCTGAGCGTCATGAATAGCTTGTCGTCACTGGAGACTTCTTCCAACTTCCGCCTGTGACGAAGTCTGGGGAAGAGCCCTTCTTCGCTTTTGAGAGCGAAGCCTGGCAGAAATGCATTGACCATACCATAACACTCACGCAAGTGTACAGACAAAAAGATGCTCGTGCGTGCTTCATGTACATCCTTAGTCCATTCTCACACCAACTACGCGGCCCAGAATTCGTCGAGCTCCTGAACGAGCTCCGAAAGGGTACAATCTCTCCGTCTGCCCAGCAGACCTTCACCACTCTGTCACGGCCGCTGCCACCCTTGCCTTCGGGCATCCTCCCAACCGAGCTCTACCCGCTCCGCGCTCAGGTCGAGCGCGCAAATACAACGCGACTCGCCGCCCTCCCCGGCGCCGTGCACGCATACAGCGCACGCGACACAGGCACCCACCAGAGAGTGCTCGAGCAGATGGTCGTGCCCTCGCGTCTGGCGTTCAAGGTGGATGCGCAGGTGATGCTTGTCAAGAACGTCGACGAGAAGCTCGTGAACGGCACGGTTGGGCGTGTTCTGGGGTTCCACACCATCGCGGCTTGCCATGCGAGCACCGGGCTTTCCTCCTCGCAGGAGGAAGATGTAAAGCCACTGAGCCGGTCCGCAAGCTCAAAGCCGAAGTCTGGGTCTACGTCAACCGCGAGCTCGCAGGAGTCTGCTGCGAGCAGCTCAGCCACAAAGGCGAATGGTGCGGTGCGCAACGTCCAGGTTGGCCCCGACGGACGTACGCCAGTTGCCCTGAGTGGCCGTACCTTGGCTGACAAGGAGAACCTGGCTTCACCCGTCAAGATGGAGAGAGACGTGAAGCCCGGGGTCAGCACGCCGTTGTCTAAGGGCCAGGCGAAAGACGAGGAGCTCTACCCGCTCGTCGAGTTCCGCACCCAGCAGGGTACGGAGATCGTGCTCGTCGTCCGCGACGAGTTCCGCGTGGAAGACAACGAGGGCAAGCTGCTCGCGCGGCGTGTGCAGGTGCGTGATTCATCATACCGAGCGTTGTGCAAACGAAGGGCTGAAGTGTGTAATCTATCCTCGCATGTCGCATGCAGCTCCCGCTCGTGCTCGCGTGGGCGATGTCGATCCATAAGAGCCAGGGCCAGACGATCCAGCACGTAAAGATCGACCTGCGGAGCGTGTTTGAGAAGGGACAGAGCTACGTCGCGCTCTCGCGCGCCGCGTCGCTCGACGGACTGCAGGTCCTCGGCTTTGACCCGAAGAAGGTGCGTTCACGACGCGTGCTTGTCTGTTCATGGCGGAGGTGCTGACGGTGTTGTTGGCAGGTCAAGGCGCACCCGAAAGTGGTCGCATGGAGTGCGACTTTGGAGGTTGCTACTGATGTTGCCCTTCAAGAGGTTCCTCAGTGATGATGCCGGCGCCGGACGCTCGCATGGACTGTCCACGAACATCGGAATGACCTACACAAGACCACAGTCTACCAATGCGAAGACGATAATGCGTACTGTACAGCGATGCCCTAGTCGAAGCCAAGCCGTGTACAATTACATTGAGTGCCATGCATGGGGCCATGGGCCCCTCCACCACCCGCCATCAGACGACAAGTATTAGTATTTTGCGCGAAGCTCAAGGAACGTGACAGGTGAGTTATAACTAACGACGGAGCAAGCTGCCAGCACCGAGTCCCGACGATACGGCAATGAACGGGAAGTCGAAACGACAAATCCGAGTGGCACACGTAGATGAAACCGATCCTCTCTTACAGGCGGCGCATAGGGAACTGGCTATGGCGGGAAGAGCGAGCGGCAAGCTCACACAGCCAGATAGGCGGGATATGCGCCGCGCCGAGCCTCAACCTGACTCAAACGGCGTCACGGTGACGGACGACACAGCGCCGCCGTGACTCCGCGAGCATCGAGCTATTGAGTGTCGACTCATCTCGGCTGCGATGGCCACAGCCATATATAAGACATGGAGGCGGCCACACAACAAGCAGCGCGCCCTCATCGACATCGACTGGGTCCTCCTTCGAGTCGCTACTCCTCGTATCCCGCATCACTCCGCTCGCACAGTACTTAAGTCTTCGCTGAACGCCATGCCGTCGCGCCAGAAGAGAGCGGACAAGATCGTCGTGCGGCGGGTCGAGCGCGGCTCGCGCACAGCAACCAAGATGGTCCTCGGGACGATGCAGGAGCTCAACCGGCACGCGCCACTGGTCAGTCGAATCCGCCTCTCTTCAGTCTATGTACCTATGTAGTCGAGCTGCCGCTCACGTCTTGCGCCCGCGCTGCAGGAGGAGATTGCGCCGCACCTGATTGAGCTCCAGGAGAAGGAGAACTCCAAGCCATGGAAGCAGGCCAGTCGGTCCGCGCCACGACCATGGCGGCAGACCAGGCGCAACGCGGGGCGCGACGACGGCCGGACGTATGTCTCGCGGCGGTTTGTCTGCGGTTCCGCCGTCGGGGAGGATTCGGAGTCAGACGACCAGTCACATACGGATGACCGCACGGACCAGCGGTCTCCAGGGGGCTCTCACACACGCAGGCTAGAGCGTGTGGAGGTCTGTCTGATGGATATGGCTAAGCCTGCAAAGCAGCGAGGTGCGTGCGCCCCTGGTCCCGACTTGTGAGTAGAGTTTTGAAAGTTGAGCGGTGGCGTTTCTAGGTACACCAAGAGGCTATGAATTTGTGCGTCGTTCGCCGCACGTTATGGAGGACGAGTGGGAGATGCTCGGTGGGGAGGGCGAGGATGAGTGGGAGAGCGTGGATGTTTGATGCACCGGTCCCGGATTAGCACAGCCACTACTAGGACCCCCGACAATACACCAAAATCCCTGATCCTCGTTCCGAAAAATCGGTCAAATTTGTCCGTGAGATCAGGCCTCCGGGAGGGGTCGCCAGGTCCGAATTATGGCACCAGTCTCCTTCCGTATACGGTAATTTTTCCACTAGACGCCCTCGTGGCGGCCGGAGCGGGCCTCCGGAGAGCGTCTACCCACCCCTGGTGTCATCATTTTGTCCGATATCCGGGCGCCTGGCACCAGACCTGGCCACGATGTTGGGTCCAAAACAGGGGGGTAAGCATCAGGCATTCGTGTCCGAATCACCCCAAATTGTCCGAATTGAGCCTCAGGGATTTTGGTGTATTGTCGGGGGTCCTCCACTACTACTACCTAGTACTAGCGATCGGGTTATAATTCCGATTGCAGCGGTGGAACTCTTGCCACCATCCATCTGATTCCACACACAAAGATGATGCTTCAGATGGGAATGCTGCGCAAAGGAGAGACATGGGTCACTCGCAACACAGCAAAACAACATAAAGGTATGCTGCCCCGGTGAGGCTCGAACTCACGACCTTCCGATGTCATCGTAACAGTCGGACGCTGTAACCAACTCAGCCACGGGGCAGTTATTAAGGGGTACGCCCACAGCATTATCACAGGCACGCAAAGCCCACATGTCCCTGCGTTCTCGAGCGAGTTGGTGAACTTGATTTCTTCCTCCCCGACCGCGCCCGACAGGACCAGGATGGCCACCTTTGCGACGGACCCGGCCCACGCCGATGCACGTCTTGGGTCTGGCGCTGCTCTTGCCGACTCCGTGCACTCCCAGGACAGTCGGAACGGAGTCGACCAGCTGGGAGCCGACATCTCTGGCGAGCACGACACCGACAACGACGCTCCCGGCAAGAAGAAGAAAGGAACAAAACGGAGAAAGGTCAACCATGCATGCCTCTACTGTCGCCGGAGCCATATGACCTGTGACGAGGGGCGCCCTTGTCAACGTTGGTACGAATTCTCCTCCTTCGCCCGCTCGCCGGGAATTCGTGGGCACTGAACGCTGCCGGCAGCATCAAGCGTGAAATCGGCCACCTCTGCCACGACGAACGGCGGACTACGGGCAAGGAGAAGGCGTCTGCCTCCACTGTCCCAAGCTCCATTACGAATCCTCCGATAGACGTCGCGAGGCTTCCTGGCGAGTATCCGTTCCACCCCCTTGTGCACTACCGACCCCTCCTCTAACATCCCAGCCACGGGTCTCGTCGCTCGCAACCTTTTAGCGGGGCAATACGGTTCCGCATCAGTACCGATGAATACGACATGGCCAGGGATGGGCTTGAGCATGGCTCAAGGTGGATGGTTGTACCCGCCAGAGAATCTGAGCAATGAGTTCTCTGTCCTCTCGTGAGTAACCCTTTTCATGCCTCACGAGCTTCGCAGTGTTGTAAAGGCTGGTCAAGCGCATCTGGATTGCACACGAGCATCAGTGCACACGGGTCTATTGACTGTGAAGTCTGGTACTCCAGCCGGTCTCGAGACCCAATTCTGTTGACGTTGCATCCAACCGTTCCCTCCGGCCTCGCATCGGGTATGGTGTCTATCCGTAATGACTGGGTGTCCCGCTAAGGGCAGGCGCGTCAGGACTTCGTCTCGTGCAACAGGCGTGTATGCCGATGTCATCCGCAACGATCCCCTCCGTGCTCTCAATTACCAGCGCTGCTGTCGTTCGCTCACACATCCATCTACAGAGACTTCCTTGAGTCATTGGACGACGGAACATTCTTCAGCCAACCTCCCGTGACATCCTCGCTGATGTCTAGCCCCACCTATACGAATCCAGTGACTCTTGGAGTTGACAACCCGTACATCACTCAACCGACTGGTCTCGCAGCTCCGGCACCCAACAATTCAACGGCTGCACCACCCGCTCCAAATAGCCCGGAGCGGGATCGAGAAAGAGCGGCTGAGGAGCCCGCCCCGGTCGTGCTCCCTGCTGCCACGAAGACTGAACGCTTCTTCCTTACGGCTGCGGATCAGGCATCGGGCTCGCGTAATGAACGGCTGAACATGGTCATCCGGAGTAAGTACGAGGCCGGGTTGCTCAAGCCGTACAACTACGTCAAGGGGTATGCACGCTTGTCCCGGTGGATGGACAGAAAGTACGTACCGCGTCGTGTCGTGTGACTATGTTGAATGCTTCTCAACGCTTCCGGTGTAGCGTGTCTCAAGAGTCGAAACAGAAGATCCTACAACCACTGTCCGTCCTCCGGCCCAAGTTCAGAGTGAGCCTCCGATTCGGTCGAGTGAGCAACGCTAACCGCACATCAGGCCATAGCCCAGTCAGAATCCCTGACAGATATTGTATGCATGCTGTCCATGGGCTCATGGGCAGCGCGTGCTAACCTCCCCACAGGATTTAGTGTTCATTGAGGAAGCGTTTGAACGCTTGCTCTTGGATTACGATCGTGTCTTCTCTGCGATGGCGATCCCCGCATGTCTCTGGCGCCGCACCGGCGAGATCTACAAGGCCAATCGGGAATTCGCCGAGCTAGTCGGTGTGGACGGATACATGCTGCGCGACGTACGTCCACCGCCCTCCCTCTATCCCCATTGTCCTCCCTGGCCTGCTGCTGAGGAGACTGCGTGGACAGGGTCGGTTATGCATCTACGAGCTTATGGCCGAAGATTCCGCAGTTAACTACTGGGAGGTGCGCCCGCTGTCACCGCCCTGCACGTCTTACCTATTATCTGACGGACGCTGTACCTGCGGCGCGTAGAAATATGGCAACGTGGCCTTCGACTCGACTCAGAAGGCCGTCCTCACCTCGTGCGTACTCCGGTATAAGCCGCTCCTGCCGTCCTCCGGCGCAGTGACCCCCGCGCGGGGCAAGGAGCCGCCGCCGAACGAGGAGGGCTTCATCAGCTGCTGTTTCTCGTTCACCATCCGGCGCGACCCGTACGGCATCCCAACGCTTATCGTGGGGAACTTCATCAAGTGCTAGGGCACGTATTCCCGTGCCCTGGGGGCGCCTGGACCGGGAGACCGGTGCCATGTCGCCCACATCCTCCTAGTATAGAGTCGTGCTTTGTGTTCTTGTTTGTCGAGCTGAGCTGAGCTTGCTTTCGTGCCGCTAATTTATTTCCAGCGTACCACGACGCCCAGCCGTGCCCATGGCATGGTGCGGTGGGGCGGTTATAATCAGGCCATCTCTATCTCTGAGACTTGAGTAGTCTGTCTTTTTTGTAATATTGGTTTCAGTTGACGCTGCTGTTAGGATAGTAGAAGACGCCGCAGAATGTACATTGTCACCCAACCGCAGCACAGTTACAGTTTGCTTCGATATCCTGGCCTGTTCTGCAAGGTGCAGGCACTACGCACGTTCGCCGACCTTGACACACCCAACACATCGTGTGGGGTTCATGGTCTTCACCCGTTCCGGCAGGCCGGAGTTGGCCCTGAGATTCTACCGCTGGTTCGGTCATCCGCATATATACCCATCCCAACATGATTGGGTTCCAGGCGCTAGACGGATATCTTGAAGAGTCCGGTCTGTAACGGACTTTTGTCGCTTCGAAGCCATCCTCTCTACCCCCATGCAACTACGCGCGAAGCACGCGCGCCGTAGTCCCCGACCGATGGAACATTGTTGCGCAGGGCGCGCTGGAGTCATTCCACCGGGGCCGAGTCAAGTGTTGATATATCTAAGGTCGTTGCCATGTCTGTATCTATTTGTAAATGTCGCACCTGCCCCAAAGGTCGCTGTGCGATACTTCAAGTGACTTGTGCCCCATGAGCGTGTGCGGTCAGAACATGTACAGCAATCTTAATGTCGCTCCCCGGGCGGTGACCAGCACACCGCGCGAACTTGCTACGATGAACATTAAGTGCTCGATCTTCCGCGAACCGCCTCAGGACTGCCTCCATGTCGCTACGCGAAGAGTGCGAGCGTTATTGAATTGTTGCCAGAAAGCCGGCTGAAATAGCCCTTGCCGGGATCGAGAGCGCGGAGGGTCAAGCTAGTACTTATTGTACATACCTCGGGCCTGCGCTACTTTAACTCTGCTTTGACATCACCACCGACCTCCTACGCTCCCGCTCCTTTTAACGCATGGCTTTTTCATGATCTCTTTCTCTCCTCGACGCTCGCCATGGCCGATACCCAGCCCCGCCCGCACATGCTTCACCGCGCCGCGAACCTGCTCACGACAAAGGGCCAGCCAGTCCCGGCGATAGCAGACACCCTCCTCGCCCTCTCCGACACCGAATACAAGCCCATCCAACGACGGCGGACGGATGGAGGAAGTGGACTGGGAGGGTCGATCCGGCGCAAGTTCAAGGAGGTGAAGGACGTCGGGACAAGCGTTGCGCGCCGCGCGAGCTTCAAGCGTTCTCCCTCTGCTCCCGCATCCTCTGCGCCTCTATCCACCACCCGCACCTCGTCGTCCGCATCCGCCTCGGCGTCGGTCTCGTTCGAGGAGAAGTCGGTGCAGGAGGCGTCGACATCGACATTCGTGTTGTCGCCCGTGTCCTGGGTGAAGCGCAGGAAGAGCCACCGCCGCGCCCAGTCCGAGTCCTTGCCCACGAGGCCCCCACTCAATCACGTTGTGCCGAGCGAGAGCCACAACGCCGACTCCCCCCTCCTCGACGCCCTCAGTCCTCGTCCACTGACCAGGATGGCCTCCCTCCCCGAGTCTCCCATTTCCGAGCAGCAGCATCAGCAGGCGCAGGCCCAGCTCGCTGCGCCCGTCGCTCAGCCTGCGGCGGGGTTGGACGCCACCGTCCCGCAGCTGCTTCAGCAAGGTGTGCCGATGCTGAAAGTGTCCGCAAAGAAACAGAAGCGGTATGTCTTCAAGCTCGATCCAGACCAAGGGCAGATCATCTGGGAGTCCAAGAAGCTGCGATACAGTGAGTGTCTCCTTCGCATTGCCCCCGTACTCTCCCATCGCGCATCCATCTCTCGTGTCCACCCCTTCCATCTCGCAAGCCCCTCCTCCTCTTCGAGCTCGACGCTCATGCAGATTGCACAGTCCCAATCGAGAACATCAAGGAGCTCCGCGTAGGCGTCGACGCACGGTACTACCGCGAGCAGTTCCAGCTCTCACACGAGTACGAGGACAAATGGCTCACGGTCATCTACGTCCTCGACGGCGGGTACAAGACGCTGCACCTCATCGCGGCCACGCGGGACATCTTCCAGATGTGGGACGTGACCCTGCGCCGTCTGCACGCGATCCGGCAGCAGCTCATGAGCGGGCTTGGCAGCGCGGACATGCGGCAGGCGATATGGGAGAAGCAGTTCTGGAAGGGCGCAGACGACGAGCAGGACCAGCGCATCGACTTCGACGACGTCGAACGCCTCTGCCGGAGGCTCAACATCAACCCATCCCGCGACGACCTCCTCAGGCGCTTCCAGGTGCGTGGCGGACGTGCGCTGACGACATGCACGGTCCTGATCCCCGCATACAGCAAGCGGACAGCCAGAATCGGGGCTACCTCGACTTCGCTGACTTCCAGCGCTTCGTGAAGGCCCTCAAGGCACGCCCGGAGCTCGACAGGCTGTACAAGAAGGTCACGAATGGCGCCTCGGGGATGACGTTCACCGCCTTCGAACAGTTCATGCGGACCTA